AACTATATTTAATATATAAATAAAATTATTAGTATTATAAAAACTTTTATTTTATTTCTAACTCTAATTCTAAATTTTAATTTTATCTTTAATATTAATTCTAATTTTAATTTTAAAAATTAATAAGTAAAAATTATATAGTTAGATCTTTTTAAATATATATTTTTTAAATATATAGTCTATGAAAAACTTTTTTAAATAATAACCTTATTTGGTCCAACTTATATAACATTTATAGATTTTTTATCTCTCTAAATATAATATCTCTTTAAATACAAGATTCTTTGGCTGCCTCTTGACTATATATTTAGAAAAATCTAACTATACAATATATAATAAATTATAAATAGTTAAATTTATAAAATAACTAGAGGCTAAAGTTTGTTAAATTCTATTTAATATTACAATTACTAAATTTCAAAAATTAGTCAAGTAATTAATATGTATTTAATGCTTTAATTAAAAAAATTAAGTATTTTCATAAACCTTATTTAATTTTAATTTTAATTAACCTTTATCCTAGAAATTTCAATTTAAATTATTTGAAAAATATTTATTACACAATTATATATGTTTTAAAAATATTTATTGTGCTATAATACCATTTTAAAAATATCTACTTTACAATAACATTCCAAGATGTTTAAAGTTGGTTTGCGTTAGAATTGGTTTTGATTAGTTTAAAGTAGATATTATATATATAGATTGTTTTTTAATGTTTTTATATATGTTTGTTTTTATTTATATAAATTAAATTATTATATTTAATCAAACATAAAAAATTTTATTTGCTGATTTAAGAATGCATTTAATAGAATTACTCTATTTTTGTTTCGTCTAATAAATCAGAAATTTGCTGCAAAAGTTCTATTTTGACATCCTCCGGGATAATCTCTAATTTTCGTAAACATCACAAGGGTCCGAATAATCATTGCAATTTGAGAAATCATTTAGAGGGTGGCAATTATATTCAAATAAATAAATAAATAAATTCGAGTAATAATACCTCGACCATATGCCAGTACCTCGTCCTCTAGTTGATCAAGTTTGATATTATTTGCTCCCTCAGTCCTGATAATCTCTATTAAAATTGAAATAGTAATAAAATGTCATAGGAAATAATAGGAAAAAAAAAATTAAACGATTAAATTGAACCTTACCTACACATCGTTTTTTGACCCTGCTTTTCCAACCGCTATCACAGAGTCTCTTAAACAGTATATTCTTTAATCTGATATCAAATACAGGTCAGAGAAATATGTACGACTAGGAACATGTTATCGTAATTTTCTTTAACTTACCGATTTTTTGCATTTGTCTCAAGGATGCTATTTCTAAGTGCAATTTCATTTTTTTGGTCGAGCCCCAGTTCCGACATAGTAAGAAAAATAGTTATTTTATTTTTATTTTATTTTTTTATTTTTAGTATTTGGCGAGTGGGTGATTTTAATTGCCCCTTTTATACGTGACACACATGCGGAGTTGCAAATTTCCTATAAACAATAAACTGATCAAC